TGCAAAGTAAACGGTAAGCAGTTTTGCAAGGCAGGTCTTAATATTCAGTCTCATAAGTGAGCAGTAGAATATGGAATTTCCTGGTAACCAGTTAAGCATAAGCACCTAATCCTGTACCACCCCATAAAAATCCAACAATTAGTATTATCCAATGAAATGCCTATAGAAGTAACTACAGTTTTGTAGACATTTTTATATGAAAAGAACTTAAAGTACTACTTTTGGTTGTTTATACTTAATTCAACAGCTTGTTTTATTTTCCCCTGCACCTGCAATCTTACTCAATGAAGTACTTACTAATCAGTAAGGCAAAGCAAAAAAACCTCTCATGGGCACCTATCTCTCAAACCACTCGTAACCAAAATAATGATGCTTGGATTATTGCCACCACATAGTAAAGAAGCAAATATATAATAACCTCCTGTGCTAAATGACTATACCTACTGATTTTTCCCTGTTCAATTTTATTATATATATATATATATATATACACATGTATATATTTATGAGGTAAAAGGTGATGTTATATACATATCCAACATGTGGGATGACTAACTCAAACTAACATAATTACCTCAAATACCACTTTTTGTGGTGAGATGTTTTTTATTCTTAATAATTTAAAATATACAGTGCATTATTATAGTCACCACGTCATGCAATAGAGCTCAAAACACTTATTCCCTGAATAAACTGAGAAACTTTACACTTTGACCAACATCTAATGCTGAAACTTTGTATCATTTGACCAACATCTTTCCATTCTTCCTATCTCCCAGCTTGTGATAATCATTGTACCCTCTACTTGAGTTTGATTGCTTTATATTATTTATATTGTAAATGAGATCATGTGGTATGTTTGTCCTTTTGTGACTGGTTTATTTCACTTAGCAGAATGTCCTAGAGGTTCATTCTTGTTATCACGATAATAGGATTTTCTTCTTTTAAAAACTGAAATAATATCCTATTACTACATGGACATTTAGGATGGTTCCATATCTTGGCTACTATGAATAATAGTGCAATGAACAAGAGTGCAGGATCTCAACATGTTGATTTTATATCCTTCAGACGTATTACCAGAAACAGGACTGTTGGGTCAATGTGATAAACCTATGTTAATGTTTTACAAACTTTCAGATTGTTTTCCACAATGGATGTACTGATTTACTTCCTCACCCAGTGTACAGAGGTTCATTTTTCTCCACGTACTAACTTCTCCTCCCTTTTTGATAATTGCCTTTTTTTTTTTTTTTTTTGGTACCAGGAATCGAGCTCATGACTTCACACTTGCCGGGCAGGCACTATGCTGCTTTCTGCCAGTTTGAGATAATGTCTCCTTTTGGTTTTAATTTGCCTTTCTCTAATGATTAGTGGGGAAGAGCATTTTTACTGCTAGCCACTTGTCTTTAGAGAAATGTCTTTCAGGTTCTTTGTCCATGTTTTAATTGGGTTGTTTTCATGTTACTGAGTTTCTGATACATTTTGTATATTAGTCCTATTCAATAGACAGATTGCAAGTATTTTCTCACAGTCCCTAGACTGACTCTTCACTCAGCTCTTTCCTTTGCTATTCAGCTTGAGGTAATTTTGTGTCTATGTCTGCTTTTGTTGCCTGAGCTCTTGGGGTTGCCAAGCTCAATTTCACAGAGCTTTTCTATTTTCTTCTAGTAGTTTTACAGTCTCAGTTCTTACATTTAAGTCTTTGATTTTGTATATGGCAAATGTAAGGGCCCAATTTCATTCTTTTGTATGCAGATATCCAGTTTTCCCAACATTCTTATTTTTTTCCCAACAGTGGAAATTAAACTTAATCTTACACATATTAGGCAAGTGCTCCATCACTGAGACTTATCCCAGCCATCCCCAAACTTCTTTATTAAAAGACTGTCCTTTCCACATTGTTTGAAACCCTTTTTGAAAAACAAATGGTAGATATTAACCCAAACACATCAAAGATCACCTTAAATATCAAAGGTCTAAACACACTGAAGTCAGAAATTGTCACAGTGCTGGGGATATAGCAAAGTAGCACAAGCACCTGCCTGGCAAGCGCAAGGTCCTGAGTTCGATTCCTGATAACAAAAAAAACAAAAAAAAAACTAACCAAAGAAATTGTCACAGTGGATGAAAAACTGAACCCAAAGGCATAATTTTGTAATGATATAAAAGTTTTTGTTGTAAATTGGTTATTTATCTTACTAGTATATCTTCTGTGTAAAACATTTCTAATTAGATACAGCTCTAAGAAAAATATTTAAGAATTTAAAATTAATACACAGGGATGTCAAAATCTTTGTTTAAAACAGTAAGGATAGGGATATTGATTTGTGCTTAGCAAAATTTACAAACTTTAAAAAGTTTTACATTTGTCAAAATAATTTCTTCTGCTCGCTATAAGTTTTAAATGTTTAAGAAAATTAAGTCTAAGGAAGTTCATATTTACTTAGATGTTTATTGTTTTACTATTTTGTTAAATAACCTATTATGTGTGATTTTCCTTATTTTTAAAAATGTTGTTGCCCTGGTATAATGCAGTCAGTCATGATTATTACCTTAATATGCTCTACAAATAATTAAACTGTTTAACTTGCTGTCTTAATATGCTATAAAATTAAAATGCTTTGGCAAATTGTTTCCTGGTGTACTATTTGCAGCCATATAACTAGCAAAACTCACAATTCTCTTGGTCGATCAGTCTTGCTCAAAAATGTATGTATGTTTCTAGTTGGTCTAATAGACATTAATGCTTGCACGCTATATTAAAACCTTTTACAGTTCTGTATGTATACTAAGAAATCCTAAAGGTGTTACTAAACTGCAATTCTTGGTCTTGGCATTACTAACTGTGCCCTTTCTCTGAAATGATTATGCACATAGGCTTACAGAAAGAGGGGACTCTTCAGTGTTTGCCTGATACACCTTTCTGGCAGAACTAAGCTTCCTCATATAAATATTGGGTTGTTTGGTTTTTGGCTTTAATTACCTTGGTGACTATGTTTCTTAGTCAGTGTTCCCTACAGACTGGACTTGCCTTGCTCTTATTAGCTTGTTCTATGTCTGATCATGTCTTTGTAACTATTTGTCAAAGTTCTAATGTTTTAGGGTGCTGACTATAAAACAGTTAGGACCGGATTGATAATGGATGCTAGATAAACTTGGTCTAAGAGCCACTCTTTGTAAACCCCGATATTGGTCAGATTTGGCAAGAAGTTTTTATGGCACTGGCTTTAATCCTGTCATATCCCATCAAACATGGGACATGTTCTGGTTGATCATCACCAGGGAAATCCACATGACCAAGGGACAAGGCTGAGTCACACAAAAACTTGCATGAGTGTTTCAGGACCCTGTGTAACATTGCCGCAATTTTGCAGTGACCAAGACATCCTTCAGTAGGTGAGTAAATAAACTGGTATATCCAGATACTGAGATATTTCCTCAGCCCTCAAAGGAAGTGAGCTATCAAGCCAGGAAGACGACACAGGAAAAAAACTTAAATGTCTACCACTAATTGAACAGAGCCAATCTGAAAAGGCTAAAAATACTGTATAATTCCAACTTCTAAAAAAGTCCAAATTATGGAAATGGTAAAAAAAATTAGCGTTGGGCAGGGCTGGAGGGAGGCAGGCATGAGCAGGCGCAGCACAGAGGACTTCCAGCACAGTGAAGCAATGGGAGGTACGTATTTGATCGAACTCACAGAAGGCAGAATACCAAGAATGAGCCCTAAGGCAAGCCACGGGCTTTGGGTGAAATGACACCACAGGTTCATCCGTGTGACAGGTACGCCAGCTCTGGTGGGAGATGCTGCTGAGTCTATGTGGCACAGTATGTGAAAGGCTGTATTTTCTACTCAATTTTGCTATGAACCTAAAACTGTTCTAATAAAGTATTTTTAAAAACATGCTAGTTTTTAAAAAACAGTAAAATCCAAATGAGGTCTATAGTTTAGCTAAAAGTAGCGCAGCAAAGTCAACTTCTAGTTCATAACATACAACTGCTAAATAATGTTATCATTGGAGGCAGCTGCAGTAATAGACAAATGTGATATTTTACATTTCGCGAGTCCAAAATTACTCCTTTTAAAAAGATTTTTTTTAAAAGCTTATCAGGCGAATTTATTTATGATTATTTACCAGTATTATTTACCAGTATTAACAAGCATTTTTGTTTTGTTTTGTTTTTTGTTTTTGGTGCAGGGACTGAACTCACACTAAACATGCACTTCACCACTGAGCTTGTACCTTCAGCCCAAGACTTGTAAAAATTTTAATGATTTAAATTATCTAGCAATTTTCTGGAGGTATTAAATTTTATAGTTCTATTTTAAAATCACATTTTGACTCTCTGTCCTTTAAAATATGATGGACCTAATTTCTAGATGGCTCAGTATATAACTGCTATAAATTTCAGACAGCATAGAAGATAAAGTTCTGGAGAAAAATGTCTGATTCTATTAATTATCTTCTTAGAAGAGAAAATTATAAAAAAAAAAAAATACATAATCTCTGACAGAGTATCTGAGAAATGGAATCCAAAAAATAATGCAGACCATTGAGCTCAATTCTTGTACACCTGGCACACTAATACAACTTTTTAGTCATAACAAATAAAAACTTTTATTACCTTTTCAGTTCTACAGACTAAAAATCATGAAATTAAACTTTTTTTCTTTTTGGTCTTTCTGAGACAGGGCTTGACTATGCAGTTCCGGCTGGCTTTGAACCCACTTTGGAGCCCAGGCTGGCCTCGAACTCACACCGATCCTCCTGCCTCAGCCTCCCACGTGCTGCGATTACAGGTATGTGCCATCCTGTCCAGCCAAAATTGAACGTTTTTAAAGATCACTGAAAATTAATGGCTTTTAAGTTTCCATACCAGGATCAATGTAATTTATATAGACCATTTTCATTTTTTTTATTCTTAACTTTTTACACAAAAATAGAAATTTTAGTCTAAAAAACATCTACTCATTTCAAAGAGTTTCATCTCCACGGTACCATAGTTCATGAAACTGAAATTTATTTGTTGACAAAGATTTAATTGTAGACAAATTCATTTATACCAAACAAAAAACAATGTTCATACCTAAGACAGTTTAAATATTTATGGTTATTACAGATCCGCAATTAAACTTCAAAGATTAGTGCATTTAGACTGGTCAACCCCTTAAGTTACCATTTGTGACAAAGAAACCAAAAACAAAAGATGATGTTTTAAAGGAGAGTGATATCAAATTTAAAAATAAAGGAAAGTTAGTTTCAACACAGAAGTGATTCTATTCCAAACAAAAAAAAAAATATATCTAAAATGTAAAATAGCAAGGTTACACAGAAAAACTACCACACCTCAACTTTTAAAAACTAGGAAAAAGACCTCTTTAATTATGTACCCAAGATTGAGGATGAATCTATGCAAACTTTACAACTATTCACAGAAGTAGGTTAGTGATGAGTGCACTGTATTAATGGAAGCTTTTGAAATTTTATCCTAGCTCCACAAAAAATGATAATGCTTTATAATATACATGAAACAAGGTAATTTTTATCAGTCATTCTTTTGAATGGGGAAAAAAGGCAAAATCCTACAGTGCGAAGCAAACTATGAAACAAAGCGTTCTCAAAGCAGAAAAGTGTCTTTTATTTTAATTTTAAAATAGCGGGCTGCCCAATCAACCCGGACCACAGGGACAGCAGAATGAGCAGGAAGTGAGGTGAGAGCACAGACTGCGCTGCAAGAGACACCCAGCAGGCTTCAGGTTCTCTTCTGACCTCTCACCAAGTATGAAGACAGCCTGCTCATTCTGAGTACGGGATAGGAAATAAAACGGAAAAACACCACTCATAGTCCACTAGCATATCCTATAAAAATGGGAAGAATTTTAGGGATCTCTGTACTTCCTCCTCAAGCAACTTAAGGGAAATCAGAGTTTAAAAAAGTCTTTTAACTGTAACAGGAATAGTCCCTTCCAAAACAATAGTCTGAAAAGGGAAAAGCAGGTAGTTATTTTGCGTTTCATGTAGATTAAATATACTCATATAACTTTTCAACTACCTTTTAAGTATAGAAAAACTTCCTCCTTAATCCTCCAAAAATCTCACGTAGAAGAATGAAAAATATCACCCATGTTGCCGGTGAAAAAACAAGTAAAGATTAAATGATTTATAAAATAGGTTATGCTGTTACCATACTGGGAACAAAGCCTAACCTGCTCCTCCATAAATACGTTATAGATACATCAATATCAGTGAAGTCATTAAATACTAAACCTTGTCTTATCTTCAATATGAATTAGAGGAATGGGAGGCACTTGATAAAAAAACACTTGAAACCCCAGGGCCCAGAAGTCTAACAAAGTGGTAGAGTGCTTACCTACCATGTATGAAGCCCTAGGTTTGATCCCTAACACCTCCAAAAAGAAAAAGCAAAAAAATTTAAAATCTTTAGTTTAGAATTCGTTAAATTCTGTTTTTCAACCTTTAGCAGGTATGCTAATTTAAAGTCTCCAGTTAAGAAACTGGTCTCCAGGGAGGTGAGAAGCACCATGAGAAAATAATACAGTGGGAAGACAAGAGGCCACTGTACTGATTCTAGAACCATTTACCTCCAGACTTCCTATTGTGAGAGAGAAGTAAGTGTCTGACTTTCTAAGTGAAAGAAGGAAGGGAGGAAGTAAAAGAGAAATAAGTCACAAAGTTTTATGTAGGATTCATAAAAATTTCTTTTTCTTGGAACACAAATGGTTGAAAACTTGAGCCTTCTAAAGACCCTGCTATGAATACTGAGCTACAAAGATACACAAAACAGAAGTGTCTGGAACATTTGGCTGCCTGTAGTCTTCTGCAAGATCACAAAGTACTCAAAAATTCTTTGACCTAAAGAAAGGAAAGAAATATTAATATATATCCTTGGCAAATTTGGGGTAATATGCGTCGTCACGTGAGAGTATACAACAGTTGAAGACCACAACTGTGTAAGTAACTCTACCACAACGTCAAAGCAGTTACAGCAATTCCCACAGAAATATCACCAAATACTTCAGCAGTAAAAGGAATGAACCACAGTGCCTGACAGGAGCTATTTAACTTATATCTAAGACTGATGCAGTCCTAAAATAGCCATAACTCAGGAGGGGCTGAAGGGAAGGGAGAATAGAGGAGTTGTGCCGGGGGGACCAAGTTATATCACGTACAGGTACAAATTCTCTTTGATGAATGTGATCGCTATGTATATCTAAAATGTACCAATAAAATCCAATTTTAAAAAATTAAAACAGGCCAGGTGTGGTGGTACACACCTGTAATCCCAGCACTCAAGAGGTTGAGGCAGGAGAATCACTGCAAGTTTGAGACCAGCCTGGGCTACAAAGTGAGCTCAAGGCCAGCCTGAAGTGCATGCTGAGACCCTGTCTCAAATAGACTAAAATATAATATAATATAATATAATATAATGTAAAATAACCATGACTCTAGTTTTATAATCTATTTAAATATCATACACCAGTAGTACATGCAGCTTTAAAACCAATAACTGCTAGAGTTTAAACAACTTTGCAGATTAGACACGTGGTAGATCCATAATGTTCCTAAGCCACAAATTTCAATCATATACTCTATAATGTAAATGTGTGGGGAAAGTTAGCCAAATGATCTGAACCTAGCCAAATGATGAATACCACAATGCAAGACTCTTACAAAAAAAGTTACCCCCCAAAAGACAAAGATTATTGCCTTGTGAAATTGACAGTTACCTGTTAATACAATCATAATTTTTTCACCTTAATAGCACTATAAATGAATTCTATATTTTAACGCCATTAAAAAATGTCATATGACACCTGAATTTTCTAGATATGCTTTAAATTTACATATGGAGAAAACAACCATATATTATAGTGATGTGAAATGATGAGATTTTCAAAATATCCAGATATATCTCTTACAGGGGCCAGAGATATAGCTCATTGGCACAGCCTTGCTTGGCAAGCACAAGGTCCTGGGTTCAATTCCCAGTACCGGAAAAACAAAACAAACAAAAAAAAAACACCCAGCTATATCCCTTACAAATGGATGTCAAGTCCTTACTAACTTAAACAGCAGGCATTTCATAAAAGGACAAAGAAAAAAATCAAGTTTCTTTCAAAAGTGAACAAAAAATTAAGGCTCTTCTTTAGACCTTAGATCATTAAGTTAATCAACTTTGGTATAGGAATATTTGTTATATACTTCTTATATACTGTCTCAAATGTTCATCAAGAGATTCTCTACCTATGCCTTTATCAATATGGTACCATCCAGAATACGATCAACTCTCCATTATTTGAGAGATAAATTAATGTGGATTAAGACAGTGACTCAATGACTAATCAATTTCAGTCATCTTTGACATTGCCCCAAATAAAACTCAAAACTAAATTTTTTTAATCTCAAGACTTCAGCTAAAATTAGATGAGATCCACAGCCTACAAGTTAAAATATATTCTATACTGACTTTATTTGTAAAAATAAATTTAATTTTCAGTTTATTAAACTGTTTCTTATTAAAGTTTATTATTAAAATATTTAGATAAGGGGAGGGGGGAACAAAGCAGGGAAGAAAGATGAGAAAGAACACACTACTGTATTATCCCTGCCTCACAGATATAGAAACAAAAAGGTAAAGAGATCTTTGTTTTAGTTCAGGCCACAAAGCCGGAATATAAAGTCAGGATTAGAATCTCAACAGTCTAGTCTTCACAGCTTTTAACCACCTCTTAATGTAACTTTTGTAAGCTTTTTCATCAGATAATTTTCTCACAAGTTAGTATACTTTTAGACAAAACAAATACTAGTTTATCTGTCTGCCTCTACCTTTTCAATCAGACTTTCATGTTTGTCTTTAAAGTCTTCATTGACATCCAATGTTAAGATAGGAACCTCCTGTAGATACTCAAAGTTGGTTCTGTTTGAAAAGAAATGAACAACATCAGACAAGCAATAAAAAAAACAAACACATTAAAAACTCATTCTTATATCATTGGAAAATCAAAATACTGTCAATCAGTTTACACTAAGGTTATTTTGCAAGTAATACAACTGACAGCCCCTTGCTTCTCATGTGGATTTATTATACATGAATAAAAATGTACTATATATAAGTGAAAAACCTTTAGACACAATAAATATGTAAAACTAGGCCCTGTAACATGATGCTCCTCAGAGAACGAAACCACATGAAATGGAAATTGCATTTTAAAGGTGAGGAGAGCTGAGGATGTAGCTCAGTGGTAGACCAGCTGCCTCATATGCATATGCTCAAATTCAATACCTGCAATGCCAAAGAGAAACAGCAAACTAAAACTCAGAGAAGGCATCTGAGGCCCGAGGCCGTCCAAGGTTACATGCCAAGAATGAGACTGCACGTGAGCCACGAGCTGACTAATGAGTCTACATGATTAACTCAGTGACTATGCTGCACTTCTTCACAGTCTTAACCTAACAAACAAATCTGAAACCTAAACATTCCCAGGTTTCCAGCAAATGCCTGAAACCACACACATGTGAACCCTATATGTCATATACCAGGTCATTCCTATACATACAAATTTAATGCCTCTTCTATATCAAAACCGATTATTTAAAATGAGGTTAAGAATGTTTACTTTTCCACATAAAGGAGGCACTTAATGGCTTCTCTTTGGCAGATGTGAATTCAAGTATCACGCACTACTCTTACGCTTTGGGACCCCTGTGAAGAAAAATACAGGCAACCTGATCACAAGCACTGTGACACTGTGACAGCTGATCTGATACAGAGAGTGCTGCAGAAGACTCTCAGATGGTAGAACATATACTCTGCACAAGGAGCTGATCCACATCATGGCTGTACCAGACAAGATGGGTTAGGGCAGGACAACACAGGATTTCATCATACTACTCAATAGTAGGTAGTTTTTCGTTTTGTTCTGTTTTGAAAGGGAATCTAACTATGTTACTCAGACTGGTTGGTCTCAAACTGCCAGGCTCAAGTGATCTTCCTGTCTCAAGCTCCCAAGTAGCTAGAACTATAGATAAGCCCAGCTTGGTAAACAATTCAAAACTTATGAATTGCTTATTTCTGAAATTTCCCATTTCACATTTTCAGACCAAGGTTATTGTTGGCACCTGAACTGTGGAAAGGGAAACTGCAGATAACAGGGGACTACTATATCACAGTAATTCCTCCAATGGAGTACCAACACATAATGTACACAGATACAATCTGATCACTTAAGTAAATCCATGTATTATGCTCTCCATACCACCAGGAGATACTAGTTACAAAACCTTGAAAAAAATGAGATCTTACTGTACTCCAGACTCAAAATCCATACCTAATTCTAGGAGACAAAAACAAATAAATGGCTAAAAATAGAAAGCATTACATGTTGCTACTCACAGCTTCCAAGTGTTAGATTAGAAGCTAGTGAGTTCAGAATGATGAGCACACAGGAAGGAGGAGGCTTACTTTAGGGTCCTATGCAGGAGCCAGCTTTCATGCTTATAGTGCAGCTTCTCTAAATACTCAAGAGGGATGCCTTGCTCCTCAGTTCTTCCTCGTAAATGTATCCTACTCAAGCATTTCTAGGAATAGGAAAAATCAAAACACAGGGAACAATTATTTACAGACATCAAAAGTTTCTAGTGTCTCTTTAGTTAAACTAGCCAAAATATATTCATTCCTTCTAAAACACTGAAATAGTTGATCTTCCCCTTCAGCTGCTTTTTCAATAATCTGGTGGCTAAGCAGTCCTATCCAAAAGAAGTCAAAATAACTTAGTTTTCTGTATCCACACATAAAATCCACATATTCAGATGTAGGTTTGGTAGAAAGGCAAAGAAAAGTTCATTAAACGTCTAAAATTTTTAGAGGACAGCTAACGGGTGTGTCACTTTGTCAATCCTACTTCAGTGCTAACCAAACATGACTGTAAAATGTCTGTTTCATGAATGGAAAACCCTTAAGACTGTGGTCCCTACTGTGACGAAAACTCCACGTCACCACAACCAGAAGGAACTTTGGGGTGTTCTACACCATCCTGCTCTTGGACTACTATGGCTATTAAGCACTACGACATGGTTAGCAGGGTGACCCAGGAACTGAATTTTAAATCTTTATTTAATTTTAACAACCGTTAACTAGTAGGCACATTGACAAGTGGCTCTAGATCATTTCCCCCAGAAAATAACAAGTATATATAAAATTATGTATAATTTGTAGGAGTTCATAGACCCTTAAAAATTTATTAATTCATCCAAAGATAAAGGAACCTCCAAATAGAGAAGCACTTGGCTAGCACACCCAAGACCCTCTGTTCAATCCCCAGTGCCACGGAAGAAGAGAAAGAAAGAAAGGCTTTCAACCTAAATAACGTGTCATTTATATACCATAGCATGTAAGTTGTGCTTCAAAGTCCACACCATGAGATCTAAATATACTGCTTACTTTTTTTTAAGTTTATTACACCGAAAAACTCGCCATTAATCTCCCTTATAAAACTTCCCATCACTTCAGACACACTTATTCCCTCATTCATACTCTTTGTGAAGCAGTTCTTAAAGTCTTTCATGTCTTTAGCTGCACTACCATGGTGGCCTCAACGTCTGGAACTGTTGAGAACATCTACCTTTCATGGCCTTATTGACTTTGGGGAAGAGCCAGAAGTCACCAGTACCAGATTCTGTGAGTAAGGAGGGTAAGAGGACACACCACAAGGCTCTTAGGAGTCTGCTTTCCCGAGACGGCCCTCAGCAGCTGCAGTCACCATATTTTTTGTCACCTCATAGAGATCTCACAAGACAGGACTTGCAGAACTCCTTCAGAAAGTGGCAAGAACGATGTGATAAGCGTGTGCAAAGTGAGAGTACTCTGTGAGGGATTAATGGCACTGAGGCTTTTACTGTACTAAACTTTTAAAGTTTAAATATTCACCCATATATTTTGAGAAAAATTTATAAATTTTCATTTCAAAAATTATTTAATCAAAAGATATAAAAAATGAATGAAATAAAATCATACTTCTGCGTTAGTTTGTAAGGTACTGACTGAATGTTTCCAACAGAATGAAATCATTAGTATTCTTTATGTTCTTTTGCAACATTTGTAGTTACTATTTATGTAATTAAAAACAATTCTTTTCAAAAATAAAAGTGAATATCCAAATTATTGCAACTGCTAAATTCTGGCTTACTTGACATGGAAAATGGAACAGAAATATACTAGTTCCTTTTCAAGTTTAGTTTCAATAGTAATACAGTATTCTAATGAACTATGCACTAGAAGTTATGACATTTACATTCATCAGAGCCTACCTCATGACTTACCAAAGACACAATAAAAATGCCAATGCAAGCATCAAAATCAGAAGCTTCTTATTAAATGTAAGGTCTTACTATTCAGGTTAGTCTTATAAAAGGTTTCCACTTAACCTTCCCAGATTCATTACATAATATATAAATAGTTACTCTTACAACCCATGGTGAAAGGTACATTTTCAGGCAACTTCCCTGAACCTGTCTGTCTGTCGGTCTGTCTGTCTTTCAGTAGTGGGGATTAAGTCCAGGGCCTCGGCCCTTAGCTACAGCCCCAGCCCCTCCCTTTTTTATTTTGAGACAGGGTCTCACTAAGTTGGTAAGTTTCCCAGGCTAGGCTTGTGATCCTCCTGACTCGCTCTCTCAGAATGCTGAGACTACAGGTACAAACTGCCACATCCAGCTTCTAAGTCTCTTCTTTACTGTTCCTGCCACTCTTCCCTCTTAACAAGTCATAAACAACCATAAAAGCTTTCTTGAAATGAACATTCACCACCAGCTTTGCCGTTCATTCAGCAAATGTTTACCAAGCTGCTACTGTGCACCCAGACTGTGTTCTAAGCACTGGAAATGCAACAGTAGTCACACTACTCAAATCCCACATCATGGAGCATACATTTTAGAAATTCGTTGAACATGCTCCTTAGTCTAGCTGTGACAGAATGAAAGTCTGAAAAAGTTAGGAAGAAATAAAAATGAAAAATAAAACGGAACTGAGGAAGAACAGAGAAGAGCCTAAAGGATCAACTTGCCATTCTGGGCTTCTAGTTTGCGGAGAAAATAGAATACTTTCATATTCACAGTTATGAGTCTGGAGGTACCGGGGTTAGGGCTGCTTCAGTACAGACCACTTTAAAGAGTTCTAAATATTACTTTTAAGTTTTCAAAGGAGCAAACACATTTTTACAGGGCCTCACCTCTGGAGCAGCTCGAAGATAAATGATTCCATCCAATTCAAGGCTTTGGCCAAACTGGTTATTCATCCAGTCATGCCAGTCTTGATATATTGTCCACTCTGTCTCATTCATGCAATCAGATTCATACAAATTAGATGCAAAAATGTACCTGAAAAAGTGTTTATTAAAACATATATCATTTCAGAGAGAGAGAGAGAGAGAGGATGGATTTACTAAATGAACACAAACATTTTCCTAAACCCTGTGTCAGACAGTCCCTCAGAGCAGAAAACATCAGGGCTGCTCTACATAGAGAAAATCGTACTTGACCAGCAGTTCTCAGACTGTGCAAAGACCTCTCAAGTCCTGAGATGTGTCCAGAGGTTCAGGGAGGCCAGAGTACTTCAGGTACTACTATATTTCAAGACAAAAAAATTACAGACTGAATATGGGAACATAAATCTAGCTGTCTTTTATTATGTCAGACATTAAAGAGATCTGCAAAAATGTGAAGGAATGCTACTTGTTTCACTATCCTTTGTTTTGAAAAACACAACTTTTTATCAAAGGAGATTATCTATGTTAACATGAATTTGTTTTTCTTTAAAACAGGTCTCCCTAAGTAATTCAGCTTGGCTTGAACTATGTTCTTAGGCTGGTTCCTAGCTTAGACTGGTCTCAAACTCAAAGGTCTCTGGCCTCAACCTTCCAAGTGCTGAGATTATGAAGTTCAACATAATTAACTTCCAAGCTAATTTCTAAAACGTAACTATCAGCAAGATACAAAGCGCTTTGAACTCCTCAATAACTTTAAGAATAGAAAGGGGTCCTGAAATGAAAAATCTGAGAACCCTATTCTGAGCTACACTGGAGGTCAAAAGAATCCTGCATACACACAGCTATTCTAAGCCCCCTAAGAAATGTTTATTCCCTTGTTCCAGGTAAAAGTCTAAATTATAGATCCAGATTTAACCAGAGCAGAAGAAAATTTTTGTTTTGCTTTGCTTTTGGGTTTTGTTTGTTTGTTTGTTGTTGTTGTTTTGAGACAGGGTCTTGCTATGCAGTTCAGGTTGGACTTGAGCTCACTTTGTAGCGCAGGCAGGTCTTGAGCTTGCAACAATCCTCTTGTCTCGGCCTCCTGAGTGCTGGGCATACAGGTGTGCCCCTATGCTTGGCTGAAAATTTTACGAGTTGGAAGAGGAAAAAAACTGTTCTGCAAATTTTAATTAAATAATCACCTTATTCTTTACTTCTTTATAGTTTCCAAGGAAGCTAGAGGTTATAAATGCTAGAACTTGGGGCTGAGGATTTAGCTCAGGGGCACAGCGCCTGGTACCGGAAAAAACCAAAAAAAAAACAATGCTAGAACTTCCCAATGCCATTAGCACTAAAGTGCTAAAGGTATTAAATGTCATTTCCTATCTAAAATCCCCAATTCTTCCTCTAAAACTATTTGTGAAAAAAAATCAAAGAAAGCAGGAAAAGAAAAAAGATGTTCAATTCTAACCAAGACCCCAAATAGACAATATAAACCATTTATATATACCTGTCACTATATACAGATCGTTCAAAAAATAACACAGGTTTCTCTGCATCTTTGAGCTTGCTGTTGACAGAGAAGAGCTGAGCACGTATGCGACTGAGACAGGCATATGACTGGAAGGTAAAAGACCATCGTTCGGGTTTTTCATACATCATCTGAAGGACATTCCCACCACTTTTCTGAGAGGTTGTCAGTTCCTAATTTGAATAAAAAGAAACAAGAAGCAAGTTAATGATCAATAGAGTCAATTTTTTAAACACTCACAAAAACAAATGCATCATGATTAGTAAAACCAGGACGATTAAATCTCTTTCTTCATTCTCTTTCCCAGTATATTTTTCAGGTTACCTGAGGTTGAACAAATATTTAGCTCTTTCTCACAAGAGGTCACAAATGACCCATGGAAAAAATTATTTATCTGAAAAAAAAAAAAAGAAAAGAAAAAAAGAAAAAATTATTTATCTGGCCAAAATAAAACTTTAAGTTTTAATTAATAGCCACGTATGGTGGTGCATGCCTATAACTCCAGCACCCAGGAAACTGAGGCAAGAGAAATTGCCATACGTTTGAGGCCACTCTGCTACACAGTGAGTTCAAAGCCAATTTGAATGACATAGTGAGACTGTACCAAAAAATAAAAACAAAAAAAATTTTTTCAATTAGTTGTCAATATCTAAAAACTACATAAAATTATTTGGATTTATATATTCCTTTTAAAAATGGAAAACTCAAGCAACATGGTGCTTGTATTTCCTCTTGGAAAAACTGACTAATCAAGTCACACATGCCTCCCTTAGATGAGGTGCATGTTCTCCAGCTTTTCAGTCTCTGCCATTCCCCGCTGACTCTTTAACAGATCCTGATGTAGAGTGACCCGTGGGGGGCCACAACCTGGTGAGTCAATCTTAAGTTAAAAATATGCTCGAAATGCACTGACTGCACATCATATTCAGCACTGAACATTATACTCAGCAACACAGGACAGCAGGGGCACTTGCACCCCTCAGGACCCTGTCTGGTATGGCTCACTGCTGCCACCCAGCATCACAAAAAGGTATCATACTACATTCTGCTAGCCTGGGGAAAAGATCGAAAGTAAAGAACTGAAGTGCAGCTTCCATGGAACATACATCACTTTCGCACCATCAGAAAGTCAAAAATATTGTAAGTGGAACCATCATACAAGAGGGTAAGTGGGGTACCTTGTCTGTATCGGTTAACTGCCCAGCCTTTTACACACTCAAATTTATAACTCCAATCTTCTGATGTGACAGAATAGATCGTCCTCAAAATCTTGTAAGTTAGTGATTGTACTGTTAGAACTAGTATTATTCTGTATAACTAATACTAAATAAAAATATACATTAAAAATAATTTTCCTAGTTCTGTCCTTCAAAAGGCCTACGGAAGAATAAGTAAATACCATCTAGATTACCATCTAGATTAAGAATAAGAATCTGCCATCTAGACTCTAGATTACCATCTAGAATAAGTAAATACCATCTAGATTAAAATCTAAATATTTTCCACTGAAGGCATTCTGTGCCTGATTCTAGGTCTAGAAAAGAAAATGTACAAGATGAGCTTCACATATCTTGTCCCAGTAAATAAGAAAACTATCAAAGACTACCCCAAGTGAGTAAAGGGCCAAGGAGTTGGTATAAAGGGGCTTCTACTAGTCAGTTTGGACATCCAAAGAGAATGGAAGATAAAAATCTGTGAGTTATATTACTTAAAAATAACAACAAAAACAAAACGAACCATGTTCAAGAGGATACTAAGGCACTGACTTATTCTGGAAAATCATACACGAAGAGAAAAAACAGACATCAAGCACTCTATTCTAGCTCTTTCTATAGATATGCTCTGTGGATAATGAAGGACTTGGTAGAAAAAAAGGGTCTTTTGAGGCTGAGGATTTAGCTCAGTGGCACAGAGCCTGCCTGGCAAGCGCAAGTCGTGAGTTCAACTTCCGGTACCAGAAAAAAAAAAGGGGGGGGTCTTTTTACTAAATCTAATAAATTCAGAAGATCTGAGAAAGAATATCATCTTTATAGCACTTAATAATATATTAGATTGAGGTAGTAATTAGCAGTAGATATTAAAATCATAAGCAAAATTTTGACAAACTTCTTTTTCTTTTTTTGAGACAGGTGTCTCTAGATTGCCCTGCTAGGCCTCAAGCTCCTGAGCTCAAAGCATCCCTTTCGTTAATCATAGGTGAAAACTGGTACAAAAAGACCTTATCTCAATCTGATGAAAGCTATTTATCACCAATCTACTGCCAACTTCATATCAAATGGGGAGAAACTGGAAGTTTTCCTTTTTAAAATCAGGAACAGGACAAGGATGGCTGCTATCACCACTCCTGTTCAATACAGTTCTCAAAATATTAGCCAGAGCAATCAGGCAAGAGAAAAAGGATAGATACAGGAAAGAAGGAAATCAAATTATTATTTGCAGATGACATGATCCTCTCCATAGAAGTCCCAAAAAAATTCACGAAAGACTCCTAGAATTGATATCCAAATTCAGTAGGGTAGCAGGATACAAAGTCAACACACAAAAATCAATACCATTCCTGTAGACCAATAATAAACTCACCAACAGTGAAATTAGGGAAACAATATCTTCCACAGTAGCATCAAGAAAAAATAAGTATTTAGAATTAACCTATCCAAGAAAGTGAAAGACCTCTACAATGAAGACTCAAGTTCTTTTTTGGGCTTCGGTCCTTGTCTGGTTTTGAAATCAGGATTTTGCTAGCTTTTGGAATCAGAAATGACTTTGAGAGTATTCCTTCCCTTTTGATTTCACTAAAGAGTTTACAAAGTTAGATCATCCCTAAAGTTTTTGTAGAATGTTAATGAATCCATCAGGCCCTAAACTTTTCTTAGTTTTTTTTTTATTTTAAAACACTTCAGTTTCTTTCCCTGATATTAGATTACTCAGGGTTTTTAAATACTCTTGGTTCAGCTTTGGTAGTTCATATATATCTAGGAATCTATTCATTTCCTCTGAATTCTCCATTTTATTAGAGTACATGCTCTCAAAGTATTTCCTAATAATGTTCTGGATTTTCAGCAACATGTGTTGTGATTTTGCATTTACCATTTCTAACTGCATTGATCTGGTCTTTGTTTTGGTCAGATCAGCTAGTTCACTATTTTATTTATTTATTCTTTTAAAGAACTAGCTCTTCAATTCATTGATTTTTTTATATTGTTTTAGTCTCGACTGTATTAATTTCCTCTGATCTTTATAATCTTCCTTGTACTAGCTCTGGGTTTGTTGATGTGAATGTTCTGTTTCCCATGATGTCAGGCGGACATTTTCCACGATGTGGAAACTGATCCATCCCTTTGGGTATTGGCAGCCTAACTTATCCCTGACAGAACTCGGGTCTCCCAAGGGTTTCTCTATCATACACTGAAGAAGATCTGTCATGTAATCTTCATCTGTCCAAAATAAAGCCTCAATAAAAAGAGCTTTATAAATCCATAAATTCTATTAAATACATCTAGAAGTTATTCTTTTATGTCACTTGACACATAAGGACTGATTTTTTTTTAATTTTATTTTAAAGGGAATAAAAAAAGAACAAAAACAGTAACAGCAACATAGACAAAGAAAAAACAATAAAAATGATAGAGGGATTCAAAACAAAATGATAAGAATTAACAGGGGATGTTATATTACATATTGCTATATCAAAGAAGCTGTTCAGATTATCAGATGTAAGGATGCAAGACTGATCAAACCATTAAAGAGAAAAATCATTAGAAATGATACAGTTTCACTAGATAAGATGGTAGGAATTTACCAATTGTTATTATGTTGCATATTGTTATCTTCAAATTAGTTGTTCAGATTACCAGATATAAGCATGTAAAACTGGCTAAAAAAAATTAATAAGCATTAACTGTTCCTTTCAACAAACCATTAGACATCAGTAGTACAGTTGTCTCAGGCTAGCTTTCTCTATATATATTTTTTTCCCTTCCTTCTTTCTTTTTCTCCTTTCCCTCATCCCAATTGTTCTTTCCTTTGAGCAATTTCTATCCCTGTCATTACAATATCTATTGTACATTTTGGGTTTTATTCACTCTTCAGGTTCTTACACTAAGGAAACAATACAATGTTTACACATGCAGGTCTGATTCATTTCACTTATGAGTATGGTCTCTAGTTGCATCCACCTATAAAAGCCTCGAGTTTATCTTTGTTTATAACTGAGTAATACTACATTGTTAAAAAAAAAAAAAAATCTTTTTTATCCATTCCTCAGTTGATGGGCATTTGGGTTGTTTACAAGACTTAGCTATGACAAACTGTGCTGCTATAAACATGGGAACACATACATTGCTATGGTATGTTTTTAATTCTTCTGGAAAAATACCGAGAAGGGGAACAACTGGGTATAGTGGGACTTCTAGTTCTAGTTTTGTGAGGCATTTCCACACTGATTTCCAGTGGTTTCAACAATTTACACTCCCACCAGCAGTGGAAAAATGTTCCTTTTTCCCCCAAAGCCTCTCCAGCACCTATTATTGGTTGATTTCTTACTGACAGCCATTCTTTCTGGGGTAAGATAAAATCTCAGTGTTGTTAAAGATTGCATTTCTTAAATGATGAATGATACTGAACATTTTTTCATATACTTAATTTGCCATTTGTATTTCTTCATCTGAGAAGTGTGTATTCATCTCAGTTGCCCATTTTTGAATTGGGTCTTTGAATTTGGGGGGCCTAATTTTTAAAAATTCTTTATATGTCTTAGATAGAAGTCTTCTGGCTGAGGGGCAGGTGGCTAAAATTTTTTCCCAATTCATTGGGTTTTCTTTTTGCTCTGTTGGTGATTTCTTTTGATGTGCAAAAACTTTTCAAGAAGATGAGATCCTAGTTGTTGATTCTTTGAAGTATTTCCCGTGCAGCTTGGTTTTGTTCATGAACTCTCTGCCTACCCCTGTCTTCAAGATTTTTACTTACCTTCTCTTCCAGTAGATTTACTGTTTCTGTTTTTATATTGAAATCTTCAAGCTATGTTGACTTTAGTTTGGCGCATGGTGATAGACAAGGGTCTAGTTTCAGTCTTCAGCATGTGGAGAGCCATTTTTTCCAGCACTATTTATTAAAGAGGCAATCTTTCTTCCAGTGAACATGTTTGGTCCCTCTGTCAAAGATAAGGTGGTTCAAT